TACTTCTCTTGCACATTGTATTATTCATTATCGCTGTAAAACCGAATGTCTAGAGAGTGCTTCAAAATTAATTTCCTAAGTATCATCGTTTTTCATCTACGAGATCAGTTTGTCGATTTTAGAGGTGTACACATTGTCCATAACATAGGCGATGATAGGAATTCGTTCGAAATCAGTTTTGGGTTCATAAATTCAGGGTTTGAATTGGAGGAAAGACGTGTGGTAGTGCTAAATAATAGACATTTGAGTGCATTGAGTTTACTTTTTATAAATAATTGTTCGTCTGTCATTTTGTTATGCTGTGGTTGTGTGGTTGAAAAAAATATTTATTCTAATTCAACGTAGAATATTGCGAGTAGTACCACTCGAACGCTATTTTCATAGCTTTTTGACGAGCATTCTTTGAAAATATTTCACCACAAGGACAATTCCAGTCTTTGGCAACGATCAATGAAGTTAGACCATCAACCATCAGCTAGGAAGGCAAACAAATGAATTGAGCGGATTCGTTGAATTTCTTGCGGGTATGCGAATCAAAATACTTATTAATAATTCTCCTCTATCGCTAACTTTAGAATTCGTCTATTTTCGGATCATTTTCATCATGTGTTATGTATTATCTTGAATGTGTTCGTGCATTGTTGCTTGAAAGCATTGTAAAGAGTCTGTCACAATCTCTCAATAGATTCGCGATCATTTACTCTGTTTTTGTGTTTCGTTTCGATGACATTCCTTTGTAACTGTATGCAGATGTCATTTTTGTTCATTGGTTTGCTCGTATTGTTCAAGTCAAAGCAAATTTTCAGTTTCAACTTTCGATGTTAAAACATCATCATTATGTAATAAATTATTACTCGGTTTCATCCACATCGTTCTAATTCATTTATTTTGCTCGCTAAATNTGTTCAGCTACTCAAACGGAATGATAGAAAATTAACGAAACTTCCATAATAACATTGAATATTTAATGAGTTCGCGAAATTCATCATTTTCTATTTCGATAATTATCTGTCGACTAGTAGTGTTCTATATGGAAAAGTGTAGCTGTGATCAGTTAACATTTCAAATTAGACACGTCAAATTTTCGACGAACTTCCTCATCTTATCTCTTCGTTTTAACTTAACCAGTAATACGTACCATTACTAACTATTAAGTAGCTATAAAAAATAGTTGCAAAAAATTCTGTGGATCGGAGACATTAACTATAAGACTTTTTTTGTAGTAAAGCGACGGAATAATGTGGTGAATTCGAAAATATTTATTGAAATCATACACAGTCACAAAATAACACAGGATGCTTTGTTGGTCATTTTTTGCCGAATCGAAGTGACAGATGAGTGGGGTTCAAGAAGCTTCTCAACATATTGCGATGATTTGAAGATGAAGAACGCTTGCCAAATCTAAATTATCTTTTTGGGATGAATGCGATTGAAATACATCTGCTTCGATAACGTTGCATCAGTTGATCTGTACCTGATCTCTGCTTGTTGCTCGATTCAATGACATAATGCAATAAGCAGTTCTCTAACCGGGATGAAATAAAACTTTTCTTGTTCAAAATGAATAATTTCCTAACATCAACCATATTCTGAGTTCATTTATCGTATTCACTGTTCTGCGGAGAATGAACAAACGGCTTTCATCTAATATTCATCTGCCAGCCAGGTAGATGTGAGAAATCAGGGTCAAAATTTTCGGTTTTTCAATTAAAATTCGCAAACGGTGATAGTTGAAGAGGTGAGAAGACTTCGAAGCGGTTGTATGCTAACAAGTCATATTTTTGTGCGAATTGGCATTTCACATCAGTTTCACCTCAACAACGTCCATTTTTATCAAATGTCGTTTACTAACCTCAGATTCAAACTTGCTGGATCAATTGCATAAACGACTCGTTTACCAAATCTTAATGGAATATCGTTCATATTGATTCGTCGCTTCGAACTATCTCTCAGACTCCACGAACTGTAAATATGCATAACATGTTGACTGCCTTACATTATTACCTCACGTTTAGCTGCACTCATCGAACGGTAACCATTAGAGGCCGAAACTTCTATTCTTTTGATTTTATTTTAAAGGGTTCTTGCTCGACGCCAAATGATACTTTTGAATGAAAGCGGCTGATTGTGCTCTTGGATATTTCGTTTCTCTAAAGAACAGTGAATAAATGAAGGAAATGGGACAAAACATGTTCAATATATCAAGAGTTCTCAAAAAGATATCAGCGCAAAAATTTTCAACTTATTTAGCAGTATTCACCAGCAAACATCGTGAACAGACTCGTTCTTCGATCTATCTCTTAGATAATCATTACTTCTGTCACTTCATTTCTCATCGTCATTAAAAACTCTTCCATCGAAAACGAATGAGTCTACCTATATGAATGTGCGTACAATGAATAACTGAGTTCACAGTAGATGGGAGAGAGAATCTTTGAGACTTCGGCATCTTTTTGACGAGCACACGTCAACTTCAGAGAATCGTTGGTTCAAAAAAATATTCTCGAATGGTGTTTGCTCATCAAAAAGATCTGCTGAATGGGGATATCGGGAACAATTCTCGATTGTTTCGCAGAATCGACTAAGTCAAACCAATGAAAAAGTTGACCGTTTTCCGAATCGGGGAATGATATCTGATGGCTCATAAGCAATCCGTTGTGAACGTGTCGGCAAAATCGCAATCATTCCATCCTTCAAAAAACGCATCACTATAGACGATCACAGCGCAAGTATGCTGATTTTCCGAAACGAAAAAAAAAGCAGTGGAAAGAGTGTTATTCCTCACAAACGTTTCGTATTTGTGTCGAAAAACGGAAAAGGCGAAAAATCGGAGATCTTGAAAAATGAGAGAGATTTCCTATCTGGATGCAAACTAGAAAATAGTCCGTATTCCGATCGTTTGGTTTCTAGCGTTAAAAGATTTCAAAAATTCGGCAGTTCTAAGAGTTCGAAGAAAGAATTTATTCTCAACTACTCACCTCTCGAGTATCGCTATAAACACCGACGATAAGCAACAGTGTAATAATAAAGCTCACTGAAATCATTTCATTCATCCGAATTCGTCACCGAATAACCCTGAAAATTGGCAATAAATATTGCTCAATCATAATTAAGATGGAGTTGTTTCGGCGAAAAGGTCACTTTTCCTTACTACTACATTGAGTGATTCGCAATGATATAGATGCGAAAAGCAAGCCCATAGTGCTTGATGCATCTCGCCCTGATAATAATTCAGCAACGGTCATCGCCAAATGCACAACGAGATAAATACGACGACTAACTAGGCAGGACAGGGACAAGCAATAGACAACAACTATATATGCAGATTAATGAAATGATA